ATATTGTGCTCGCTAATTTGGTTTGATTTATGCTGATGATACTGATGAGACCCAGCAAAGATCAAACTGCAGGTAACGCTGAATGGAAATAACTTTTGGAAGTTAAGTCAAAGTGAAAGTAAAAGTTATCGTGACACCTACTCATAACATTGTGGTAAAATTCTACTATCGGACATCCATCACCTTATACAATCTAGAATGGATACAGCAAAGCATCTTGATCTAAATAATTGTAATCCGATTGTCACAAACTCGTATAAAACTTGATTTTAGCATTCCAATCTAAGCCTGCAAAAGACTGAAAATAAATAGAAATTAGAAAATGTCCTAGAATTTAACTCATTAAAATAGGAAATTAAAATTTAAAATCGCGAGAATAAAGCAGAACTTGGCAATGGAGAAGGAAAAAAAATGAAAAATTAGATTTTCGATGCCTTAGCCCTACTCTTAGTACCGTCAGGTCATATCAGAATTTTCATAAGTTTCACAATAGTAACAAATGTGAGAATGTATGAATGTCAAATCAAGGAAATAAAAAACTTCTTAGATATGACCCAACCCTTAAGAAGGCCTAGAGAATCCGTAACTGAAGATATACCTACCCTTTTGAGTAAATCGATATCAATCAACACCAAGAGTACATCTTCGGAGCATTTCACAGTCAAGCTATTCATTAGAATTGTAGTTTTAAATACTTAACCCGATCAACATACAATATTTTACGAAGCAGATGCTTTGATTTAGATGTTCAAATTGTAAAAAAAGGTCTGGAAAGTACAGACTCTAAATGTGAAATAAAAAAAGGCATTTTAATGGAAACTCACCTGCCCAGCAAAAGTAAGGTCGTGAGAGATATGCCTGAGAGTATCGGAGCTCAGGGAAGCGACTAAATCGGCAGGCACCAAACTACACAGTAGATCAATAGAGGGTCGCTCAGGTGGTACCAAAGACGGCACGAGTTCTCGCAAATAAAGCTGGAATAATGAAAAATTAGATACCATAGCCAAGGTATTTTGCAATTCTGATTAGAGAAGATATACATAGACAAGCTCCTAAAATCAAAGAAAGGAAAGGGCATAAAACCAATTTGGGAAAATATGAATATTAGAGCCAAATGATTTATCCCCTAGATTTAAGAGGATAAAAGAAAATAAGTCACCTTGTTGTGTTCCGAAGAAGCATGTTAATTGTCGCTAAAAAATGAAACCTTTGTCTCTACAACTCCAAAGATGAAGATCCCAAAACTAAGAGAAAAAAAAGAAAAAATAGTAGTACCAATTGTTCTATTTTGAAATGGCCGAAATACAGTATGTAGGAGCTGACAATAGGAAGATAATCATATAAAGACGGCGCCGAATAGAGAATTCTAAACCCCTCGGGAGAGGGGAAATAATGTGACAGATCTAAACAGAATGTTAGCTAATTGAAGGTATGAAGACAAAGATGGTGTAGCCTTTTGTGTGGTCACAGTCTCCTTTCGTTGTATAGAAGTTGTTTGACCTTGTTTTCGCAACTTAATCATCTTGGTAGGAAGACTTAAAGGAACGCACCTAGTCCGGAGTCCATTGTATGCATCATCATTTCCAGAATAGGACCGTGGACGTGGTACATTCCCAGACGTTTCGCCGGCGTCGTCACTGAGTCTCGCCATTCGTAGCACCATATTACAACTCGTCAAAGAGACAAGTGAAGCCCATCCTTTCACCAAACGTGTGCTAAGCAGTTGTGGTATCTCCCCTTCTGCCCTGGGCTATTCACATTTCCTATATCCTCCTATCATGCCTTCCCTGTCACAATTTTAACCGTGCTTATTTTTTTATGTAGTGTGGTGTGCTCTTTCGAGTGGCATTCATGAAAACCCTTCACACTCCACACTGTCGTTATCACCCCCTTCATCCTTGTGATGGGAATGTTGACCAGTCTATCATATTGTTACGTAGTCCTTACCTGGGTCCTATCAAAGTCTCCCTCTTGCCCCGTAGAATCCGTCTGCCATCTCCCTGGAACATGTATTTCAATCGACCTCTGCCCCCCCCATCTGTGCTATTCGAGGCGTAATTAACCCACCCCTGCGTCTAGGTGACTAATTCGAGGCTAAAGCCTCAAGTAAGTCTCATGGTCATTATCTTGCTACACGGACGACGTCTCTTGTAAAAGCCAACCAAGCTACTTGATACACCCTTGCGTAGTTTTCCATGTCAACTTCTGATTGGGCGATGCGGTGTCAAGCTTTTGATTGGGCCACACGAAATAAGGAGTCAAGATTAGTCATGCACTCACGTAATCTCTGCACCAAAGGATGTTAAGTCATGGCTACGCATGGGATGTGACAAAAACTAAACAATGAATGGGAAAAGTGTGGGAATAGGTCACTACAACTTCATGATAATAGGTTAATTTCTACCATTTAATAATATTAGTACTGTACAGATAAGATACACGTTTCCAAACAAGTTATTTTGCTAAGTTTTAAAGATTTAAATTGATTACAAACTTTTTCTTAGTCGCGGCGCCCCCTTTCAATTATAATTTTTCCATGGCGCCCAACCCTAAATATGACTATTCGTAAGAGATAAAAATAAATAAAACTTGTGTATCATCATTATTTTTTTTACTTTGATTGACATTAAATTAATATTTAATAGATAATGTGATGGAGAGCCTGCAAATCACTGCACATTTTTTTCAAATTGAAGCTTATACAATATTTCGCGGCGCCTCTGTGAAGAGGCCGCGGCTCCCCAGGACGCCGCGGTGCACAGTTTGAAAATCACTGCCTTAGAGTATGAAATTGGATTTGCTATCTAGAAGTGTAGAAGAAATTACCAAACCTTATCAAGGCAAACTTGCTGCTACCTAAATATCTTAAGATATAAGCCTGATCCTAGATATGTCTTGAGTATTCGCCCTACAAGATCTACTCGCAAACAACATCTTATTGTAATCAATGGTTATGTACCCAAAGCCATAGTCTAATTAATAAAAAAAAATAATTTTTCAGCAAATTAACCTTATCAACAGATACATGACGTGGGAAAGCAGCTCGCATCCCGGGAACATAGGGCTCGGCGTTGAGTACCACAAGAAGCACAGTAAGATAGGCAGGGTCGTGCCGAGATGGTTCCTTTCCGGTGAGCCAAGGGTGTGTTCGAAGCAGGCTTGAAAGACAAACCTCGACGAAGTGAGCATGACGTCGTCCCACAAAAGCAGCGCACCTTGTAAGAAGCAAATGATATTAGGGTGGATGAATATATAATGTATCTCCAGGTAATCAGTCAAATGTAGTAAAGCTATACGACGACTATATCTCAGTAATTTATACATATATAAACAACTTTTAAAATTAAGGATGCTACACAGCCAATAAGTAAACAAAAGTTACTTGATTTTCTGTTTAGTAATAAGATAAACGAAATAAAGGTATTCAAAGATGAAAGGTAAGGGATGTATGAGGGTGATAAAGATGAAGGAATAAAAATATAAGAAAAGGCGGACGTTGGGGAATCTCTTGTTACATAATTACTGAGCTTACTTACAGTTATAGTGAAAATTTTGGTGAAGAGATGAGGGAGCGCTTTCTGGGAGAGATAGGATTGACACCAAAACTGTTAGTTAGATGTATGTATGACTACTTTGCCATATGGGAGCATAATAAGGATAGTATAGATAATTTCTTGTTCTTAATTAAAGAGATGGATTGCAATGTTGGGATGACAATAATTTACCTTTTATAGATGTCTTAGATTATGCAGTCTAGCTCATGCTTTTTATTGGGCCACTAAACCCTGATGACCCAAGTCTGGCCTTATACTCTGTAATTCCCTTAAGTTATGGACAATATAGAGTACTTTGATTTATACAGGTACAAATAATAATACAAGCACGCATACAGACATACTCAAGCAAAATACGACGAGCAATATGTAAGAGAACTAACTGTATATATTGCATGTATGATAGAACCGGAAAGCCTTTTTTGAATTAATGTTAAGTTTAAGGTTTTACAAGAATGAATACCAGTTATGAGTATCGATGCCATATGAGGAACGAGAGCTTATACCATTGTCACCCAAATCGAGAAAGGGGTGCGTCAATCTTGGAGTTGTATTAAAACCTTACGGCTGTCAAACAACAGGAATTAGCCGTCGTCATACGGTAGATCGACCTAGAGTTATCATTAACGTGCATGTTCCTACAAAATGAAAGCCTTGAAAATAATATTATCGTAAGAGATTTATCAAAACGTAGTTACCCTTAATTTCATACCCAAATTGTAATAAGGATCTGGAGACAAAATAGCGAAAAAAACACAATAAAATTATAGGCCAGATAGGACCAATATATCCTTTCTTAACGAAATCTAATGAAAATAGTGAGGAAAGGAAAAATAAACGAAAACTTGACCTAACGATAAAAAAACCCAGAAAAAGATTTGAATTAGCGTTATCAACAGATTAAATCATAAAAAAGAGAAAGAAAGATCACAAGGAAGAGAAATCATGATGAAAGTCGAGAATTGAGAGAAAAGAGCTACATTGAATTTAGTTAAGTTAGCAGTCCGGGGTTGATGCATAAGACAAAAGGTTATCAAAAAATCCCTCAAAAGATTGCTGTTGGAATACTTGCCTATTCGATTAAGAGGCGAGTCGAAGGGATTCATAAGTTGTCCTCACCTGAAGGCGGGGGAGGATTTCTTTGTGGTTTTGAACGTAAATTTTTGCGAGTAAGTCCTTAACACAACGTCCTAGACCTCCACGAGTCCGTGCTTAGATATTGCCTGCCATGAGACATTGTGAGAGTAAAAAATAATGATTTAGGATAATTCACATTTCTTGTTTTCGTGCCTAGTGAATTATCGTAAACATGGCTTAAAGAGAGAGATAACAAATACCACCGACCAAGGGGAGGCTTGATAAGCTTCGAATCTGGTTTTTCAATGTTAAGAGCCGACGCAACTCACGAACATTGGATGCACACAACTCCTGTGCAATGAAGCAGAATCATATGCGCCAACATAACAGGATCAAAAATATAAGTAACTTAGGGAAGGGTGCAGCTGTTCGCTAACAAATGCAGCATCTGCAAACACTTCACTTTTCAGCAAACGTGTAGAGAAATCACAGGACATTCAAACAAACCATAAGATGTCTGGGTAAGTATACTAATTTAAAGTATGAAGACCAAGATGGTGTGGTCTTTTTTATGGTCGCAGTCTCCTTCCATTGTATAGAAGT